AATAATATATATAAATGTACATAATATATATATATATATATATATATATGATGTAATGGTCAGAAAGTGCTGCGACGTAATGTACCTTACGCATCACAAACAGACCTTTGGTAACGGTGTAGTGGTCAGAAAGTACTGTGACGTGTTGGAGTTCTTGCCCGAATTGGCCATCGCCAAGAGTCCTGGTTTGTCCAGTTTCCTGAGCAATCCCTTTTTCTCGTCGTTGAATTTCTTGGCCCAAATGCTCTCACCCCCCGAGCCGTCAAAGCGAGTGATGTCGCCCCCTTGCAGTAGCTTACCCTGTAAACAAACAGCAGCGTATCTATCAACAAATGAACACTCTACATACATGAATGGTTCACAGATGCTTCTCCATATATCTTCACTGCACTGCTTTCGTTTGGTTCACAACCGGTTGGACGGTACAGCTCTTTACTACTCTACTTGTACATGAATGAGCTCAATCGAACCACCCCGCGCAACGCTGCATGAGACGACAGCGTGCAAGCGAATCTGCGACGGTGCACGGAGGCTGCGTTCATTAGCACACTATAGCGTTGTACTGATACTATAGCGTTGTACTTATACTTTAGCGTCATACTTTTACTATAGCGTCATACTTATACTATAGCGTTGTACTTATACTATAGCGTTATACTTCGTTGTACATATACTATAGCGATATACTTATACTATAGCGTTATACTTCGTCGTGCTTATACTATAGCGTTGTACTTATGCAATGTGGTGAGATAGATGTGCTTGATAGCTCCATTCAACAGAGGTGTGCTGCTCTGTGCAGGTAGGTGACAAGCAAGCACTAACGGCTATATGTGCACGGGAGACTACAGAACTCAGACAGTCCGAATACACAGGCTGTCATGGCAGCAGGCACAGGCTACTCATCAACTACGCGTGGTAAGGGCATATCGTACGCAAATCAGCGAGATATATAGAATCACATGATATGACAACAGCCTATGAAACAATAAGAATGAGTGAACAGAGGAAGAGACTGAAATAAACCTAATCACATCTCATGGCGAATGCGCAGGTACAAGGAATCTGAGGTGATGGAGTGACAGAACAAATCTTCATAAATTCACATCTACGAGGTAAACATACTAAACATATACACGCGACAATCACACGCTACACACACACGTAACACACATACGAAAAAACACACACAACACACACAAAACACACACGCAACGAACGCACACCACACAGACGTAACACACACACATACGCAACACGCGCACATAACACACAAACGCACCTGAACTACGCGATGGATGGGACTGTCTTTGAAGTGCAGCTTGTCGGCTATCTTGCCAGCGCCCTTCTCTCCTGTGCATAACTGAGTGCAATAGCTCTCTTTAGTTCATGCGGGAAGTTTTAGGTATGGTACACGGAATAAGTATGTACAGTAAAACAAATAGGTATTGTGCAAGGACAGTGGACAAACGGTACACAGAATAAGTATGTACAGTAAAACAAATAGGTATTGTGCAAGGACAGTGGACAAGTAAGCACCGTACTTCGGCTCCACTGAGCCACTCAAAGCTTAATTGAAACCGTGGTAAAGGGTGCGGAGGAGATTGAATGGTAGGTAGATCTAACCATCTATGCAATAAGCAACTATCCCAAGGGCACGCACCGACTGGCTAGTCTTAAACTTAAAATATAACCTAGCCATTAACCACCACCCTCATACACCCTCATATGAACAGCCACTGCTATGATAACACAACCACGTGCAGTGAATAATGGCTGGCCATAGGGTTGTGCTCATGCAGAGCCTCATAGACTACAAACCATCGACTGTGAGTCACGAAATGGTGTGTAGTGTTAAGTGCGATGCTAAGTGTATAGGCACGCACAACAATGGGTCCAGCCCACAGTTATCGCATCCTAAGACCACCGATGATACAACCAGTCCAGTCACGAACTATAAACCTTTCTAGAATCGGAACATCAGCATACGATGAATAGTCTCAGATCAGGTCAGAGGAGAAGGAGGAAGGAGCGCACATCCACATCCAGGCCCTTAACTACATGAGTGTTAACTACATCAGGCGCATGGGGTTGTTTGCAAGCTCTGCGGTGCACGATTGCTTCATGGGCTATCAAGGCACACCGCTACAAATGACATTGTGTCACGTCGTGATGGATTGGACATGTGACATACTTTGCGCATGTTCTCACATGTCTTGGGGCAGTCGGTGTCATTTAGCTCAACGACCACTCGCCCTACGCGCAGAGTCTCTGGGGCGGTAAACAGCAGACCTTCCTGTACAGCGGGTGAAGGGAGAGTATTACAGCCGAGTCCATTGACAGGTCAGGGGGCCATGAGCACACGTACAGGGACAGTTGTGCAGCGCAGGACTATGAGAGAACAAGGACAGGGCATACACACACCCGCTCGAACGCATACGCCACTTCTTGGTAATGTACTTGGGCAAGCCTACAGTGTAGGCATGCATCCGAACATGTATGATTTCGATACAACACGATTACCACAGTCGGTTTGTAAACCAAAGAAAGGACACCATCAATAGAGACACCAGAGTAACTCTACAGTGGTGAATGCATATGATGGTGCTGATTAAATGCTTGTTAGTGACCAACCACCTGCAACATTGGAGTAACATTATATAAATGCACATACACATACACCATATCCTATAGACGCACAAGCAGACACAACCACACCCACACCAACACTCTCACCCACACCAACACTCATATATATATATACATAAATATAAATATATATATTTCTATATCTATATCTATATATATACATGTACATACATA